GGATATAGCATGAGCGATGATTAGAGAAAAAGAAAAACATGAATCGTAAGAAGGGGCAGCTGGCGAAGCAAACTGGTCATTTCATGCCTTGCATGCCGAGGCCGAGAAAGGAGCCAAGACGCCGAAAAGTCCACGTAATCTCAACTTAGGACTTGTTGTCCTTCGATGAGGCGCCATCAGTACCTGCGGAGATAAGGGTGGGCGCTACACGGCGTCTCTTCGGCGGCTGCTGCAATGCATTATTTGCTTCTTCCTTGCCCTCTTCTCTTTCAGACTCGCTTGGAGGCCTTGCGTCCCGCTTGCCCAGCACGGTCGTAGTGGATCCGTTCTGTGGAGCGCCTGAGATAGGCGTTTGTGGTGGGGTTGTCAGCGGAAGTGTCGGCGGCTGCGCAGAATGTGTTGCTGTTACCGATGGGACAGTCCCAAGTGTGGGGGTAGGATTATTCACTACTCCTGCAGGGGTTGGCTGCGCGGAAGGTTGTGTCGCGATTGAGCAGGCGGAGTTGGACCGTGCGGGGCTAGCTGGCGGTACGGGACCTGTGCTATTTGAGGACGTATGGCTCGTCTTTACCGGAGATGGCACATGTGGAGACGCCGAATGCGTCGGTGTCAGCAGAGGTGTGACATTCGTCGCAGGGGGGTTTGCAGTGTTGTGAGCCACAGAGGTTGCTCCTGTGTAGGTTTGACCCAACTCTCCAGGTGCGAATGATAGTGTAGAGCAGAAGCCGTCAGAGGAACTCATGATCAAGGTTAGCCCATCGGCGGACCTGTCGTGCGTTAGAAAGCAATAGGTGGGGATCAGGAATAGAAACAGTACTTACCATGTCAAGTCAGTGAAAGTAGCAAAATGCAAATTGCTAACAATACATAGCGGGGTTTGTTGTTGCGTGTCATATACCAAAACAGCATCTTGAGTGGCAACAGCATATACAATGCGGTAAGGAAGTGCAAAGACCGGCGCTGAGGTCTGGCTTGCTTCATTGCCGCCGTCCTCGGCAGGCTTTGGGGATGGCTGAAGCTTTGATGGCTCGGCCACCGTTGAGGACGGAGGGACCATGTGGGGTTGGCTGGTGAGAGACGCGTTACCCGATACCACAGGGTCTGGAAGAGATGAGAACGTCTCCTCACCCGAAGATGTATCAAGCGTAATGTTTTTCGCAGGCTGGGTGCCCTGCTTCAACGTGTAAAAGACCGGGGAGCATTTGACGGCTACAGATGGCTTCTTGTGCCCTGGAAGATGAGAGATCGGGGGTTTGTTGAAACCAGCCCGTGTGTAGACGTAAACTGTGTTAATAATTTCGTCTGTCGTCTTTGTAGAATCCGTAGCTGATACGTGACTGGTTTTGAATTGACCAGCTGGTGTGAACAGCAGGCTTCCGTCAGGAGCAAAAGTCAGACGCCTGAAGAAAGAAGTAAACGTCTCGTTGGCATAGATGCTGGCGTTCTTGACACCCAGCCCACCAAAACTTGGGGAGGAGACCTCCAATGGCTTAACGGCAGGCAAAGGGAGGGACGGAGCAGGAGACGCGGATCGCCGGATTGAAGGAGACGAGCCGAACGAAGAACGCCGGCTGTGTGAGACTGGAGGAGGATCCATGGGTAGGTTGGAAGCCATTGGGGTCCCCGGAGTCGAGGGAGCAGGCGAGGCGATAGCAATGGAATTTCCAGTGCTTTGTTGAGACCGGTTAGGCACATCTGGAGGAGCAGGACTGCCAGATGCAATACGTTTGGCAGGGAGATCCATCTTGAGAACCTTCCCGTGTGGTGTCAACGTGAATTGTCCATCTTTGGTCTTCAATGTATAAATGTGAACGGATCGGTCGGACGATTGAGTCGCGACAAACTCGTTGAGCGGGTCCCATGCTACACCTTGAACATAGTGAGAATGCTCGGCAATCTGTCGTACCATTTGCCCTGTAGAAATCGGTCAGCCTATCGAGCTGTATGAGGATTGCTCGACCGTAACTAACCAGTTTGGGCATTGTAAATCCGTGCGATGTTGTCCATGCTGCCTGTAATGATGAAAACACCATCGGGAGACCAAGCCAGGTCGTAGATCTCGGCGCCGGATGAGCGACACATGTGCTTCACTCGCCAGGTCTCTTTATCGTCCGAACGATCTTCACCCAGCCCAGCCTGTGTCTGTATCTCCGACGGTACCCAGAGTAGGACATTTCCATCGTCTCCAGCAGATGCCAGCATCTCACCTACATCCGTCAGACTTGCAATCATATGCTATCTGGCGGAACAACATACCTTTCGGGCTGAAGCGGACCACATTGACGGCCTGTGTATGCTTAATCAAAGTACTCAGGTAAGACACTTTTCTTTCCTCCCCAGTAGACTCGACTTTCCAGAGCTGTAGAATGTGTCAGATCAAGGTGTGCGAAGGGCGACGGAAGGCGGGTTCATACTCGGACGTTGTTATCGCTAAAGAGAAAGCAGTCAGTAAAATGGGTCAACACTCTGGGAGGACAGACACAACCTACTTTCCAGCAGTAGCTAACCGACCCTTACCATTGGGATCGAAATGCACCGAGTAGATAGGGGCATTGTCATTATGCCATGAGATGAGCAACGGGGTGGCCTTCATGGCGAACGCCGCAGCTCAGCTTGTTGAGTGCCACCGGTTCGAGTAGGTAAATATGGCCTGGAGAGAGAATAGAGAATTTCCGAGTCCAATGATCAACCAGGTCTCTGTTTTCTGCCAGGTGATATCCGGGGTAGTGGTTTGAATTGGAGAGGATTCAGTTACTCTCGATCTAAGAAGACGGAGAGGAAACGTAATTCAAATAGGAATGGAAGAAGATAAAAAGATGCGACAGTTGGGGCAGAGAGTTTGAATAAGGGAAGAGAGAGAGAGTCGTGATTCTCCGATGATGCTTCGAGTTGTTTGCGCGGGAGAACGCGACCGACGATTAGATAGGCCGAGCAGTGGAGGGAGGGCTTTTATTGACATTCTTCTTTATTATGTTCTGTAATATATATTATAGAACATTCTATATCTAGTAGATTATATTACCGGCTTGTTTATAGTAGAGATGTTCTTGTTATGATTTCAATCTCCATCCTCCCGAGGTCATAGTATACGAGTTGACATATCCAGCCCTAGAGGTAAGCACTAGAGAAGCAGCCCTCGAGATTTCGAAAAAGGATCGGAAAAGACAGAGATAGGCACTTCAAAGTAGCGCAAATGACCGTAAAGAATACACTTAAGTGTAACTATGACTCTCTACGGAGTACTATGGGAAAAGAGCTATACAAATGTGACTTCAAATAAACCCCAACGCCTCTCCGGTCGCCATTTTTCAAAGCAAAATAATAAATACAAGGATTCAGACTCCCTATGATATCCACTTGCCGAGAGTCTCTCCAAACCAGCTTACAGCTTTTTCCTGTCGCTTCTGCCGAGCATTATCCTGAGTTTTCATGAAGGGCGCAGCCTCCTCCGCATACATCTTGTGCTGTTCCTGCTGCGCATAGTGTGCACGAATCTCCAACTCTCGCTCATGTGGCGTGAGCTTCTGTAAGGGCTTCGACGGTTTGAGCTCTTCCGGGATTGCCTCCCCTCCAGGAATCTCAAGCCCGACTTCCGGGGTTTTCGATGGCTTCTCTGGGTTGAAAAGCGACGTGAGAGGCGGTGGCTCAATTCCACTGGCCTTTGCCTCCTCAATTCGCTTTTCGTAGTCCAGCATCTGGTGGTAGAGTTTGTCGGCATGCATCTGAATTCGCTCCTCTTTTTCGGCGTCGTATTCGAAGCTAGCTGCGTAACCGAGAGCTTGTAGGAATTTCTGTTTAACGGAAACATATTAGAATCCACATGATCGAGAAAGCCATGTGTTATGGCAGTAACTCACGGTCTGGGTCATAAAGCACCGCGAAAAGGTGCCATTCTCCGCCGAGCACATGGTCAGCCGGGCTTCAATTTGCTTGCGCCAATTGCCGGTCTTGAAGCAGTATGTCAAGGCTTCATGTTCCAAGGCACAGTTCTCCATTGCTGCTCGCTGTACTGTGTCGCCGCGCTCCTTGTACTTTTCAATCACTCGTGACGCCCCGCGGACTCCGGATTGTTCGTCAAGCTCCATCGGCGGCTTGTAGGTTTTCCATAGATCCGCATAACGGCCATCTTGGTAGAGTGATGCTGCAGGAACTTTCGGTTTGGAGGGTTCAGACGGTTCGGACGATTGCGCGGGCGTCGAGACTGGCTTCACATTGGGTCCAGGCACATATTTGTCGGGCTTCTCCTGTTCGAGATAGTCACGAAGCCCCGGATCGAGCTTTTGGACAGTATCATTTTTGTCACCCCAGAACCAACCCATTTGGAAATACTAGTTCGAGAATGATCAAAATCAGGAATGTGCAACAGCTGGAGTGGTGAAAGTTGAGAGCGCGGAGAAATCGGCACAAAAATGGATCGGCTCCGATCGCCTTGGCTCCGACTGCTCGTCTTTACTCCTCAACCATCAACACGACGCGTCTTTTTCGACGCCGTTCCTCCAAAATGGAACCCTGTATGTGTTGTGGTGCTGTGTGCATCTACGTGTGGAATCGCTAACAATGATAGCGCGAGAGGAGCGGCAGCAAATGCGGCAGCGTGGAGCTGGGTACGCGCGCCTTGCCTGTACCCCGCGAAACCGTAACATAGAAACTGACTCGCTGGTACAGGACGCGCAAAGCAAAAGAAGTCAATTTTGGGTTCTCATTCGGTAGCCCAGTGCTTGGATTATCAGCGCCCGCGCCACTTGCGACTGTCCCTGAAGCTCAGAATCCACCGCGAACACAGACCGCGCCGAATACAACACCACGACCGTTAAAGGTATCGCAACCAGGATCGCAGACCCGGGGCATTGAGCGCACACCAGGAAGTGCGCGCAACAAGCTCCCAGAGAGGCCCTCGACATATGAAATACCCTCCTCGGACGATAGAGTTGAACAAACCCGAAGCAATAAAAGGAGAAAGATCAGTATGTCATGGACCAGGCTGGTGTGCTATGCTAGAAATGCGGACTAACGCTTCTTCAGGTCCTACTAATGGAACAGAAGATACTCCTTCTCGTCGGAACGGCGGGCGACCTGAGAATGGCTATGGACACCCCGTTGAGAATAGTTCAAGTAGCACAGAGTCTCACACAAGCCATCCCCAGGGACCTCCAAATACAGATGCACTTCCTCTATCAGAAATACCGAACAATGGATCCTCACAGCCTCGGATCTCACCAATTCCGGAGACTTCAGTTGAAGATCAACACCCGATAGAAGAGGGGACCAACGGCATGGAACCAGCAATATCAGCCGCTGAAGAGAGCCTAGCCCAAGACACATCTCTAGTGTCTGTCCCTACGGCGCCTGTAGTGGCTGAAGAATCACAAGCGCCACCTTCATCACCTGAAGCTCAGGCCGGGGTCAAACAGCCTGAAAACACAGAGCAACTACTCGAGAGACGACATAACACTCGGTCACCACCACGGCCCGAGGAACGAATCCCGATAAACAAGAACACAGAAACCGCTCCAGTTCTTCAGACAGATATATCTGCCACAAGGATCTTATCGCCACGTGGTAGCTCCGTCGAGGCCCTTGAAGCTAGCCATGCGCCGACTACTGATGACGACGTCGACATGACTGAGGATGTTTCACCATCCAAAGGTGACGCACCAGAGCAAGACAGCCGGACGTCTCAAGGGCCTTCTACGAAGCCGAAAAAGCCTCGTGGTCGCCCGCGGCATCAATCTATGACAAACCCTACTCCGGAACTGAACGTGGAAGCCGCTGTACAGGAACCTGCGACTGAGGCGCAATATGAGCCCGCGTCAGCCCAAATTGAGGAAGCGCCAAAGACCAAACGGTCTCGAGGGAGACCCTCACTTAACAAAAGGACCATTGAAGCTATCGAGACTGACAAGACTCCACCTGAATCTATACCAGATGTCGCGGAGTCCTCTTCGGGGGCACGTCGGGATCGCAAGCCAACATCACAAAAGGATGGCCAGCCGGAAACTGTGATGGAATTTGCAGTGCCCAAGCCACAACGTGGCAGATCTGGGAAGAAAGCGAAACGCGCAGCCGAAACTGAGCCCAAACCCGAGCCTGAACCTGCGACAGCAGACCAGCCAGAACCGGAGGCAGAATCTGCGGTGCCTAAGTCTCGTGGCAGGCTTGGGAAAAAGACCAAGCATGCAGCCGAACCTGAGCCTGAGACAGAAGATCAACCAGAACCCGAAGTAGAATCTGCAGTATCCAAGCCCCAGCGTGGCAGGCCTGGAAAGAAGGCCAATCGCGCGATGGATCCTGAGCCCGAACCCGAGCCTGTCACAGCAGACCAGCCTGAACCCGAGCACTCTGCTGCACCCAAGTCACAGCGCGGCAGACCAGGAAAGAAGGCTAAGCGCGCAGTGCATCCCGAGCCGGAACCCGAGGCAGAATACCAACCCGAGCCTGAGCCTATACAAGAACAGCCTCGTCGCAAGACTCGAGAGCCTCGTGGAGAAACAGTCCCGGTCACCGTTTACCGTCTTGCGAATGTCAATTCTCTAGGTGGCACAACATCTACGGCCGACGGTTCTGGAGACGAAGAAGAATCCGCCGATGAACTCACCACGCACCAGAGGGCCAAAATACCCAACCGCGGCGGTGTCAACCCGGCTGATGTATTAAGCCAGATCTGCCGTGAGACTCTGGAGAAGACACTCAATACACTCAAGGATGGGATTGCAAACGAGGCGAATGCTACGCGACGTGCAGAATGGTCGCGCAAGAGAAAAGCCGTTGAAGTATTTGGCTCGGAGCTTGAGAGCCGCCTCATGGACCTAAGTGGGATACTCGATAGCAATTTTGTGCTCGGCGTGCAATTGAAGAAGACCAAGCGGGAGATGATGGATCTACGGCATCATCTATACCGGGTCCGTCGAGAACGCGAGAACATAGCTTTACAGATGGATGCGGTGCGCAGCAGACATATTGAAGGAGAGAAGGCCAAACATGTGAGATCTTTCCATAATACCGCTGGCGAAAATATTACTAACAATAGTCCCTAGTCACGATCCTCGATCAGCAATTCCCTTCACAGCCTTGAATTGGCCCTCGACCGCAGCAAGCAACGTTCTGCTTCTGCGGATTCTTCTACGGATCTTGAATATATGCTTCGCACCGTTGCCGATGTGAGTGCCCGAGCCCCTGGAGCACAAGGTGGTCTCTTGAACCAAATCCGGGCGTTCAATGCACAGCTCGAAGCTACTGTTGGTCGCCTGGAGCGATGATGTCCACTTTCTTTTTTTCCTTTTGCGTTCTTCTACAATCCGTTATGATACCAGGAACCAATGTTTGTGCGATGATTATTATACTCTATGGCTGGGCCAGAAGATGGCGTTTGGCGATATTTGCACCTGTACAAGTCCCGTGCTCAAGTACATAGGTAGCTTCTACATGTTACTTTCGGCTACCATCTGAATGTCAAAGAACAAGAATCTTCAATTTACGACAAGCTGCTATTCTACATTATACACACAAGTGGAAAGTGACCTCGGAGGGACTATCTTATAGATTATTAATTCCCCCGAGTCAGCGTGGGAGTGGGCCAACTGGCAGCAAATCAGAATCGCCACTTGCTCCTCTCGGCGACTTAAAGACTTTTGCGAGACTTAGTTAGAAGGTCTCATGCTCCAAGGCGTTAAGGATCTCGGAGACCGCCCTAACTCCACTGCTTGTTAATCCAAGTGGAGAATCTTCGAAGTTCTGCGAACCAAAGGGATACTGCTATCGAATATATATAGCAGCCATGGCCATTTCACTCCAAATGTATTTTAAAAGCCATTGAACCAATTGAACCCATTAAAAATCATATATCAAATAAGACCAAAATGACCAAACTCTTCACCCCACTCCGCGTCGGCCGCGTCGAGCTCTCCAACCGCATCGCCATGGCCCCGATGACCCGCTTCCGCGCCGACGACAACCACACGCCACTCCCCATCGTGAAAGACTACTACGCCCAGCGCGCCGCAGTCCCAGGCACGCTCCTAATAACCGAAGCGACCTCCATCTCCGCCCGCGCGGGCGGATACCCCAACGTACCGGGCATCTACAACGACGCCCAGATCGCCGCCTGGAAAGAAGTAACTGACGCCGTGCACGCCAAGGGCAGCTACATCTACCTACAGCTGTGGGCGCTAGGGCGAGTCGCAAACCGCGATCTCCTCCAAGCCGAAGGCTTCGATCTCGTGTCTAGTAGTGCGACGGCGGCGAGCGCAGACGCACCTGTGCCGCGCGCGCTCTCCGAGACCGAGATCCACGAATGGATCGCGGACTATGCGCAGGCGGCGCGGAATGCCGTTGCGGCTGGCTTCGACGGCGTCGAGATCCACGCCGCTAATGGGTATTTGATTGATCAGTTCACGCAGGATACGTGCAATACGCGCGTCGATGCGTGGGGTGGTAGTGTGGAGGGTCGGGCGAGGTTCGCGGTTGAGGTCTCGCGCGCTGTTGTTGAGGCTGTTGGTGCTGATCGTACGGGGATTCGGTTTAGTCCTTGGAGTACGTTCCAGGGGATGCGGATGAAGGATCCTAAGCCACAGTTTGAGTATCTGGCGGCGCAGATGGCGAAGCTGGGTCTTGCGTACACGCATTTGGTTGAGTCGAGAATCGCGGGGAATGCTGAGGTTGAGGCGACTGATGAGTTGGATTTCTTCTTGCGGGCTTATGGAAAGGCTTCGCCTGTCATTGTTGCTGGGGGATATGAGGCTGCTTCGGCAGTTCAGGCGGCTGATGTCCAGTATGCGGATTATGATGCTATTGTTGGTATTGGACGGCCGTTTATTTCGAACCCGGATTTGCCGTTCCGTGTTCAGAAGGGCATTCCGTTCGTGCCGTATGATAGGAACACTTTCTATATCCCCAAGGACCCTAAGGGATACACTGACTATGCGTTCAGTGATGAGTTCCAGAAGTCTATTGAGGCTGCGGCTTGATTTGGATTGGTTTTTGATGTCATGATTGTTTGGCGATGTGTATAGATATTGCATGTATATAGAGCTATACATGTACTTAGAACAGCCCTGGAGAATCTAGCATATACGTATAATTTGGTACTTAAACATGATCTTGTAAATTCACTTCAGGCTGTGCCGGTGCTGAGATACCAGATCCCTATTCTGTTCTTTAGGGGTTGTTTTGGGTTGGCTTAGTATGAGTTCTCTGACCAGAAGTAAAACTGAAGTTTGGGATCTTGCCCTCCTTCCATTTCTCGAGTAGAGCGAGAACTATTCCATTCTTACATGTACGTTCCTTTGCACCGCTAAACGCGAAAGCCGCGCTCCTAATACGGGTCTGCTTCCTATTCAAGCAAGATGCGTGGAAGTTGATCTCCTACTCTCCGATAGAACAAAGAAGCGGTGATCCTTACCCGTCCTCAAGGACAGAATTGTCACCTGGGCGTGGAGTGTCACTGAGTAATCAACGAGATCAGCCACTCCAGATGTTTGGAAACTGAGCAATGTACTGAGCCTGAGCTCATAAAAGCGGCTCAGATCTAAAAGCGGGGAAAATCCGATATAGCATATGCATCTTGTAAGCAGAACTCCAGATGTCGGTAGTTGTTAAGACCAGGGATTCCCCCAAGGGATTCCCCCACAATACCGGTTTTACAGAAACGTGGGTTCCGACTTGGCAGAAGCCAAAAATGTTCCGCTCCGCCGAACCGAAAATATAAGCCGAGGGTAAAAAATGGTAATAGAGTAACCGTGGATTCTATATTGGGGTTATTGGAGTATGTATTGGTTTTTGTGGGGGATCAGATGAGCAACGTGTGGAGAGAGATGCCAATTCGCCAAGTCTAATAACTAGAATTGTACGTATGCCCCAAGACTTTGCATCCCGCTACAACATATATATTGTAAGATCGCATGACGCATAATGCTCCTTAGGTATACGATCGACCAGGGCTGAGAAATCCCCGCACTGTTTGTGTTTGGCCGTATTAAGCAGGGAGCAACGCCAAGTTTCCGGGCCATCCGTTGTCGAATTCGGGAGAAGGGAGCTACGGAGTACATATTCTGGTAATCGGTTGGGAGCTATGTGGCCAGCAAGTATTGATATGTGGACGAAAGGCTATAGATCACTATTATTGAAGAATCTGCGGAGTAAGATGTGCATGAATTATGAACTGTCAATATATTGTATATTATCTGTATGGTGCCACCTTCGAGAGCAGAGTTTGCGCTCGGTTCAGGTCTGGATCGCAAAAATGGATCAAAATTAACCGAATTGATTAACGGCAATTCGCGGTTTCTGTTAGATTCTATCTACGGAGTAGTTGTATGCATGTCTCAGAAACAGGCTAAATTCGCATGAAAATAAACTATAAAACTCTGGAATGAAGTTAAAAGGGCCACATGGCCCGAGGGGATTGACACACAATATTCACCTAAAGGTACTCTGTGGCCTGTGTGTTGTTTATTATTGCTACTTGGCGGACGCCACCGATCCAAGCTATTGCCCAGGTATTTTCAGTTACAATATTGTACAATCTGGGGAGAATCCTTGTCTATAATAGTTCGAGGGCTACAACCAGAGCTTAGCAAGACGTTTGATTCCAAGGTTGTCGCAACACAGTGTCATATGATGTAAAACATACGGAATACATAGTACGGAGACATACCGTCCTTCAAGGGATCTTGCATATTATTTCCGAGGACAAAGGACCTTGTCACTGTTTCTGCTGCAAGGTTACCTTGTTGCCACGGCATCAACAAGCAGAACCAAAAAGAAAAAAGAAAAGCCTGGCAAATTGTATATGTTAGTATTAGTCTGAATTCGAATGGGGCATCTCCGGGCCGAATCTCAAGCCAGTACGGAAGCTCCGTCCAAAGTAGGCACAAATGATTGGAACAGAGACGTCCACAGGTGTCCACAGGTTCCACCATGCCTGCCGTTAGCGTTAGTCGTAAATCCTATCGCAGAGCCACATGTGGAGACGAAGCTTGACACGCTTGCATCTCTCCGAGCTTCTCGCACATCATCGGGTTACGAGAGAAAAAAATAAGGAAAATTGCAAAACAGGTCTGGGCCTCGTGCGCCGATCCAGGTTCCCCCCCGGACTAATGGCCCATTTGAGAGAAGTGAGGGAACACGGCAAGACTAATCAAACTGGGTCAAACTGGTTCGCGGCAATGTGCCGCCATTTTACCCTCTTTTTTTGCAGATCAACCTGAATATGACATTTCGTCCCGTTTCCCCGAGACTTGAAACGTTGAAGGTCTGAACTTGGACCTAAACAACCTCCACGCGGTCGTCTGGTATACCATCCGTAGTGGGTATGATGTATGTTAGGTGCAGTGTTAGTGTATCCGTGCTTCGTGTTCGGTCTGAAAAAAGGGGCAAAAGGGGGCAGATTTTGTGTGAGACTTACGCTAAGTGGGGGAAAAATGAATATCACAAAAGAAATAACAATAACAATACAAGGGAACTGTCATCCTTGCACATATGTTGTATGTCGTATGAAATGGAGTTTGATCTCACTATGAATTCATTGGTGCGTAATCTTGTCCGGATATATCAGCCTAAAGAGTCCCCGAGGTCTACAACTTTATAGTACAGTACAGAGTACTTTTTTTTCCCACAGTGAATCTCAGGTGACTGAAGTGATTGAATCATTCCAAATCATTTCATAACCCGTTACTGGGCGACAATTGGTATGCTGAGGCAGACAAGTCCACAGTTAGACCGAGGTCGTGACGCAGTCTCGGCCCGGTGTACTCAGTACCGGGATTTACCACCGGACAAGCCGCTCTTAACAAAGTATCTTTTACCTGAAAGTCTTTGCAAGTTTGGTCCATTGCGCTAAAGTACGGTGCATATGCACGAAGTACGGAGCACTGGAATAAAGTGGACTATACTCGATGATCACGGAAATCTTAATGTCTCCTAAACTCGAGTCCTTTACTGAGTAATTTGTGTAGTATCTGCTGACTATCTCTCTGGATTTTATGATACAATAGGGTTGTACATAACTTAGCTACTCCGGTCCTCCGTGGAATTATGCATTAGGTTAAGCAAATCAAGCAAGTTAAGAAAGTTAAGAAAGTTAAGAGGGGAATTATAATGATTATTCTCCAGTTCTCTACCAATAATATCATCCCCCGGATCCTTTCGGTCTCTCCACTTTCTTCCCCGGGTTAGGTTCCTTTCATCCTTGTCAGAAGGGAACAGTCCTTCCTCCGTGCCGTCCCTGCATGGCTAATTTGACATTTCTAGACATACGACATAGATTTCTAATCCCTGTGAAACAGCAAATTTCAAAATGTAAGTCTAAAAACTGGGTATTCGTATATTTATGAGCATTCCCCCGTCTCTTTCCTCCTTTCCTCCTTTCTCTCCACTTTATATTACTCGAGACTTTAACTTCTAGTGGGAACGGGTCCTGCACATCATTGTTATATGTAATATAATACCGACCGAATACCAAATTGTAAGTTTGGTTCCACACTTGCCTAAATCCAATTTTCAGAAGTCAATTGGAGTATAATAGCTTCCTTCCCCCCAGCTTCCCTGTTCTCCCATCTCTCTAGCCCAAGCTGTGCTTGATTTGAATCCTCTTCTATATCCCTATAACTGTGTTATAGGCCTTACCTTTTTTTATACTTTTTTCTTTTTACTCTTTTACCTTCCTCATTTTAACGACAATTAGATCAGTCATGTCTGCGACTGAAGCAGTTAACCACGCCGACCATGCCCAGCTGGAGAAGGACGTGGGTCCCTCTCCCCAGAACGGGAACAACGGCGCTCCCATGCAGCCCCAGATGTCCGCCGAAGAGCACCAGGTAGCACGCGCCGCCGCGCGCTTCGGCTACGGACCTCTCGCCCACGTCAACACCACAGAAGCATCTCTGCCTCCCTTCGGTGGTGAGTTCCAGCCCGGTCTGTACAAGTCCGTTGAGGGTCGCAAGTTCGCCAATCCTGCTCCTCTCGGCCTGTGCGCTTTCGCCCTCACCACTTTCGTCCTGAGCGCCATCAATATGGGTACCCTGGATATCGCCAGCCCCAATATCGTTGTCGGCCTTGCTTTCGGTTACGGTGGTCTCGTCCAGCTGCTCTCTGGCATGTGGTATGCAACCGTAACTTCCGTGCTTCCGTGCTTCCGTGGCCCTCTGTGGGTTTCACAGCCATGTTCTGCGGCTAATACGCGCTTCTTTTTTTTTTTTAGGGAAATGGCTGTCGGTAACACTTTCGGTGCTACTGCTCTCTCCTCCTACGGTGGTTTCTGGCTCGCGTTCGCTATCGTCTTGACCCCCGGCGGCTTCCAGATTGGTGAGGCTCTCGGCGAGTCAAGCAATGACCCTTCCAAATTCTATGACTCCATGGGTCTTTTCCTGATGGTAAGTTCTTGCATCCCTCTCTTTTTTCCCACAAGATGCGCAGTGTGCATGAAATCATCCCGCTGACAATGCCATAACAGGGCTGGTTCATCTTCACCACCATCATGTTGTTCTGCACCCTCAAGTCCACCGTCGCCTTCTTCCTGCTGTTTTTCACCCTGGACCTGACCTTCCTCCTGCTTGGTGTCGCCTACCTGCAGCGCGGTCCCGACGGCCACCCCAACGCCAACGTCCAGAAGGCCGGTGGCCTCTTCGGTTTCCTGGCCGCTTTCGCTGCCTGGTACAATGCCCTCGCTGGTATCGCTGATACTAGCAACAGCTTCTTCATCATCCCCGTCGCTCACTTCCCCTGGTCCCCCACTGGCCGTGTCCGCCGTGGCAAGACTGACCGTGAGCTCGCATAAGCGATTCTTTTTCTTTTTCCTTTTTTCTTATTGGAAAAGAGATGGGGATGCGGAGTGCCCGCTGCTTGTAATGTTTTCGATACCCAGTATTGTCTGTATAGGCTGCAGATAGACTGTTCCTGCTCGCCGCATTATGCTCATCGACACGTTTGCTCGTCGTCGGTTGCGTTGCGGTTGGGAGGTGTGTCTGTT